TTTGTGTGGCCAGCTGATTGGGGAAAGTGATTTTTCCCCTCTGTTTGGCCATGATGAGGCCACATCTGGATGATCTGTGTTTGCCTCATTAATGTAGCCCAGTATTCTGTTAGCCTTTTTGGCAACAAGGGCACACTGTTGACTCATATCCAGCTTATTGTCCACTGTAACCACCAGGTCCTTTTTTGCAAAGCTGCTATTTAGCCATTTGGTCCCAAGCCTGTAGCAGTGCGTGGGATTCTTCCATTCTAAGTGCAGGACTTTGGCACTTGTCCTTGTTGAACCTCATGAGATTTCTTTTGCCCAATCTTTATGGCAATTTTGCCTAGACCAAGGGTGACAAATTCACTTCAGGCTGCAGGCTGGACCGATTGCAGGGGCTCCTCTCAGGCTGTATCTGCATGACCAGCAACAATTACAAAGGATCCATATTTGGAAGATGGCAAAGGGCCAGGACCTGCCACTGATGCCATGTCCATCAGGGTCCAGGGACTATGAATTCTGTAACAGGGCACACCTCCCAACTTGTGGTAGCATGACAGGTTACCAGATAGAATGGTTTGGCATACCAAATCCAGGCTGCAAGTCATGTTTGACAAGTCATGTTGATCTAGACCACACTTCCCTAGTTTGCTTATGGGAATGCAATGTGGGACAATGTCAAAAGCTTTAGTAATATGGAGATGTACTGCATCTACAGGTTCCATCTCAGCCCTGTCAAAGAAAAAAAGCCACATCATTTTTTCTATTACCTTTGGTCAATAAGCCACACATGATGCAGTACATGCTATAGCTTATATGCATCTACACCAGCAAGCTCAAACATTTAAACTGAAGAACAAGAAATCATCCACAAGCTGGACTGTGTTATGCATGGCTTAATAGAGACTCTAAATTCTTATCCCATGATCTAGACTATCTTTATATAACCCCTACGTCCCTCAGTGGGTTAAAAGCTTTGTTTAACTGTTTCAACCCTCTTCAATCCACTTTTCCCTCACTCAGCAGTGTTCTCTACTTTGCTCCCCTTTCCTTATCTTTTGTATTTAAATGACTTTCTTCCTTTCTATTTAGTACCCCTTGTCACAACACAAGGGTGTGATTTTGTTTGTGCGCGCTTCGGCACTGCTAAATTATTTCCTGCCACGAGGAGCTTTCTTTGCAGGGTGCATTTCTTAGTTGCAAAGAGAAATGCACGGTGCAAAGGAGTTCCCGCCACCCGCATGCAAATTTGTGTCCCACTATTGGCCAGTTCTAAATTATTCCCACGTGGCGACTAGTGATTGGCTTGCTAGCCATATAAGAGGCTTGAGCGGTTTCCGCCCAAGTTGGAGGACTCCACAACTATCAGGAGAAGGAGAACTTCGTGTCTCGTGAAGATCGCTAAGCGTTGCGGAGCCTATCGGACCCAGTGTATACCTTGAGAAGGCTATAGGGGTCTGATCAACGTCTGGCCTCTCCCCGTCGTCGAACTATCCCTCGACGAACCCCTTCCCTGCACGCAAGTTCCACGGAGCCTAGCAAACTTCGTGTGAGTGTATCCAGAGCTCTTTCTCCGAGTTGTTTTCTTCGGTTGACACGACGGGCTCGCGTGTTTAGAGCCTTCAACCGGATTGGGCTAGAGGTTCGCGTGGAAGGAACTCTTGTCCGCTTCTCTTCTTTTCTGTCTGTAACTGCAACTCAAGCAAGTTTTCCTGCCTGCACCGCGACCATCTTCAGTGTAAGTAAAATAATCTTTAATCAACCGCTAAGCGTCCGTGCCTAGTTCTAGTCCACCGGCCTGCATTCCCCGACCCGCGTGCCAGGGCTGCTGGCCACAGCCCATGCCGCGCGCCCCTGAGAACCTCGGACCGCTCCCGGCCCGCACGCCCCTGCTCACTGGGTGGACATTTGTTTCCCTGGGGACAAGAAGCAGCAGCACACCTTGTGCTGCCTGAGATAAACCTATGCTACGTGCCCTCTGGCTTGCGGCAGGTTATGTCAGATGGGGTAGGGGAGGATTCCAGCAGCCTTACTTGCGGCCCTCGAGGAGCCACAGCTGTGGTGCTCCTGCAGCTGGGAACCTGGCTGGCAGCCAGAGAATGGTTCCGGAAGGCCAAGATCTGGTTTTGGGTCGCACATGCTGCCACCACATGCGCCACTCCACTTTAAGGAGCAGGTTTTTTTGATTCCGCTGCAAGGTAGACAGCATGCAAGTCCATTCATAGCATCTGACAAGGAGGATGTAGCCAACAAAAACTCTATGAAGGAGTAAATCTATAAGGTACCACCTTGTCCTGCATTCAAATAAAAGTTAAGTACATTCAGAAGCACCCTAATGAATTGGAGCCTAAAGGGACTATTTTCTCCTCACCTTGTGAGGACAACAGCTAGCCAACTTCATCTCATACCTGTTATCTCTGCAGTGGTTTCCTGCTTTAATAAAAGGTCCCAGCTTCTTATGTTTTCAAAAACGAGCCTCTGATTTTCTCTTAGCTAGACTGAAGAATATTTTAATTACTAGTATAGATGGGGCACAGTAACTTTTCAATACCAAGAAAAGAACAGAAAGGTAAATGATGATATTAGCCTGATGATGCACATGATAGCTATCTGGTGTCTCTTCCATTTTATCTGAAAACAGACTCTTATCTATGGTAGTAGGCTTTTCAGCACCAGTTTGAAAGGATAAAAGAAAAAAAAAAAATCTCATCACCTGTAGCTACAAATAGTTATGTAATTCAGCATGATCTTGTATATTAGCAAAAATACACATGCCACCTGTAATGTTTTAAATAAAACATACTTTTTTGTAGTCTATGTTTTCTTCTATCGCTTTCAATAACTAGTCCTAAGCAAGGCAACAGGCAAGCAAGAAAAAAAAGTCTGTATCACCCCCTGGTGGCAAATCCATTGCTGAAACATGCAACCACTTAATGATTAAAGGAATCTTAATTAATTCAAATATGCCCCAACCCCCAAGTCCCAATCCTGTAGAGACAAACTTTTAATAAAAAAATAAGGCCAGCAAGAACTGACTCAGTTTAAGTCTATTTACCTACTCTGTAGGAATGTTGGAAGAATTTATATTTGTAAACAGCTTAAACACAAGAAATGCTAAATATTATTCTATTATTCTAAATATTGCATAAATCAAGGTACAGGTTGATGGCACCTCCTACACACATATTGCTTCACAAGCAAAATGGGAACTATGAAGTTAAACAGTATTCTGGAAGCTTCAGGACAGACCATTGATTTAACAACACGGTACATATGGAGGGGGAAAAGATGATGCTAAAGCTGTTGCCTTTCACACTTCTTACCAGTACCAAGGGCTAATCAGCAAATAGGCTATGGAGAATAAGTTACCATCTCATCTGTTGCAGCCAATTTCTCCCTACATAAAGTAATGAATGGAGAAATAACAGACCTGACTAGTAAGGGAGGTCCAAGAATAACCCCAGAAACACTTTCCCAACATAACATATTATTCCTCTATGCTCATTTCCTTTGATACGCTCCTCAGAACACATCCGCACCTTGAAATCTGCAAACTTACTTCACACCTTCTCCGGAAAGCATGAGGAAGTGCTTGCTGCGTGTAACATTGCCATTTAACTAACCTTTGCATCAACAGAGCAGGTCTCATTCTTGTTTTCTGTGGCATGTGCTTTTTTAGGTTAAGATGTTGGCGTGACAAAGTACAGCTGTAGCTGTGATGGCTTAGACCAGTGATGGTCAACTTTCTGGCAGGCATGCCACAAATAAGTCCTGCATCTTTCCCAAGTGCTGCTCCAATCCCCTCCTATGCCCAACCCACTGCTCTGCCTTCTGCTCTTCCCATCCTGTGTTCCCTGCCTGGCTCGCGGCTCCGTCCCCGCACACCGGGTGCGATGTGGGCCGTGGTCCCCCAGCGACCCGCGTGCCACACACGTGCTGCCCGTGCCCCTGTGCCACAGGGACCACCCCTGCCTTACAGAAAAAAGCGAGGCGAGTCACGTGTGGGGATCTCCTCCCTAGCCGCCCGCACAGCAGGCAGGGAGGGCCACCGGGTACGAAGCTTCCTCAGGGGGCGCTGGGGCAGGCGCCCCGTGAAGCCA